TTCTTTCTTTTTTTTTTTTTTGAGACAGAATTTTGCTACAGGATGCATGCACTCACCCAGAAGACAGAGACAGGAAGCGAGAAATCATCCCCCAAGGGGAATTGCCACACTGCAGTCCCTCCTCCACAAGGGATTTAGGCCATGCACACACATATACCCAGCTTGAGTTTCAATCTGCCTGGTTCAGGACCCAGACCGCCATCAGCCATGTGGGAGTCCAACGCCTTAATCTCTATGCCACTTACTGCCCCCTGATATTTGACTTTGAAACATAGCTAAAAATGCCAAAACTGGGGGCCAGCACTTGGCATAATGGCTATGTCGCTGGACTCCCATGTAGTTGACTGCGGTTCAAGTCCCGGACCTGATGGCTTAAACTCACACTGGCCGCGTGTGCACGTGTACCTAAAATCCTGAGAGGAGGGATTGAGGCGTGGCCATCCCCCTGGGGGGTGATTTCTCGCTTTCTTTCTCTCTGTCTTTCTGGCGAGTGCACACTCCCTATAGCAAAAACCTCTCCAAAAGAAAAAGAAAGAAAATCAAAACTGACTGGAAATAGAGCGCGTCATCGAGAAGCGCGTGACAGCCATAAGCCACTACACCCTCCCTGCATTTCCTCCCTTGCTCGTAAGACAATTCTGTCATGACACCGAGCTATACTTGCTCTAGGATATCTGGAAAATAGAGACGAGCACACAAATCAAAACTCCCCTCAAGCTATCCACGCTTCAGATTCTGGCCTGTGTGCTTCCAGACTTTTTCTGGGTGCGTGTATTTATAACATTTTCAAGTCAAGAAGTGGGGTCGCCCTAGTAAAATTAATAATGACATGCGCACTTCGTGTACCAATGGCTTCCGAGCCCGCTCAGTGCATCAGGGCACACTCGTGCTGTTGGGGGGTGAGGCAGAGCTGCAGGCTCCGTGTCTCAGCCTCCCTCCGACTGCGCCTGGCGGGAAAGCCAGGTGAGGAGCAGTGCGTGAGGTGCCACATCCCTGTCTTCGAGAGGTGCCTGGGCACACACGTGTGTGCGTGTGTGCCCGAGCGTGGGTGGGGAATCTACTCCGGAGAGCTGTGGGAGGCGTGTCGGCGATTGCTTCTGCGGCAGCTCAAAGACCAGAGGTCAGGACTCAATTTAACATGAGTGTTTCCCTCCCCATTGCTCTTGTTCCTTCCCCGTGTTTGTTTGTTAGTTTATATATTTCATCTAAGAAAGAGATAACAGAGGGGTGGAGAGACAGAAAGAGAAAGGAAGAGAGTGCCCCCAAGAGGGTCCTCATGCCGTGAACCACGCAGCCTCAGCCAGCCGGGGTCGCCGGCATGCGCATGCGTGCCTGGTGTGCTCAGAGAGGCCCAGGACACAAACCAGGGCTTTCAGTGGGTTCAGCTGTGTAGCCATGACAGCCTTGTATGGCCACCTCTCTCTCGTTTCTTCCTTCCTTCCATCTTTCTGTCTGTCTCTCTCTCATTGTCAGAGACAGAGACAAGGAGGGGAAGAGCACTCCCCGATGAGGCGTGGTCATGCCGCAGTGTCTCCATTTCTCCACACGGTGGAGATTGGGGCATGTTTGCACATGTGCCCAGCATGTGTTTTTCAAGCCACTGGGGCTGGGGTTCGAACCACGATCAGCCATGTGGGGTCCAACTTCTTTACCATCCCACTGGCCCAGCCTCCCCATATCATATTTAATGACTGAATGTATTGCACTGAGTGGACAGTACCGTAATTTATCTAACCAATCCCCCTTTCCTGTAGGCACTTGTTTCTCATTTCTCTCGACTTGACCAAATGCCATGGTGGGCGTCGTCAGAGCCAAAGCTTTCTGCACGCTTGATCCTCTTAGGACGGCGTCCTAGACATAGCGCTGTCAGCTCGGGGCTGTGCAGGCTTCCAGGCCCTGACGTGGTAGGAGTCTCCGAACTGCCGGCCCGACATCGACGTCCCCACCACACACAGGACAGTCCCAGGACGGCCACCACTGTGGGCGGCTCATGTTCATCTTTGTGCAGTTGACAGACAAAAATAAAGAAGAATCTTCTTGTTTAAATTGCATCTCTTTGAGCACTCGTCAAGCTGACGTCATCGACCATATTTGATGGCGATTTGTTTTCCTTGAGAGTCCTCGACTTCTGCCTCTGCCCTGTTTGTCTTTGAAGCTGTTAGTCTTCTATCCTCACCTTCTCTTAGGGTCTACACAGTGTAATAAGCCTTTATCTATCACATATCCTGAAAGCATTTTCCTAGTTCTTTGCCTTTTCATTTGTTTCTGCTGTTTTTAACATGGGCTATTTAGTTTTCTGGTAGCCAGATATTTGTTATCATGCTTAAAATGCCTTCCCCAGCTCACGATTAAACATCTGTTCGTATTTTCTTCTTGGACAGTCAAGATTTGTTTCTCTAACATTTATATCTTTAACTCTTACATAATTAATTTTGGCTTACACAAGGAGGTCTTTGAAAACTATAGAAAACACATATTGTGAAAAATTATACAGGGATTTCAACTTTTAGGCAGCAAAATAAATATATTTTAATTTAATTTCCATGAACTTTTTGAAGTGCCCATGTACACTGAATAGAAAACTTGCTGTTATTTGATTATTTAGTTTAGAGATTTTTGCCATAGGGCATGTGCACTCACCACAGAGACAGAAAGCAAGAAATCACCCCCAGAGGGGATGACCACACCACAATCCATTGCCTCTCCGATCTTGGGCATGCGCAAACATGTGTTGGCGTGAATTTCAAGCCACCAGGTCTGGGACCTGAACCAAGTTGGCCATGTGGGAATCCAGTGACATAACCATTACTCCATCTGCTGATCCCTCACTGTGTTTTTTTAATGGTTAGCCAATTTTTTTTTTTTGAGAGGTTTTTGCTATAGGGCGCATGCACTCACCAGACAGACAGAGAGAGACAGAGACAGAAAGCAAGAAACCACCCCCCAGGGGGGATGGCCACGCCGCAATCCCTTCTCCATTCTCCTCTCAGGATCTTGGGCACGCAGGCACACGCGCCCGGCGTGAGTTCTAAGCCACTGGGTCCGGGACACGAACCACGGTCGACTACATGGGAGTCCAGCGACATAGCCATTACACTGACTGCTGGTCCCAATGATTAGCCAATTTTAATTACATTTTTCTAACCGATTGTTACTGGTAGGTGAGAAAGCCAGTGATTTTTATGTATTCGTTTTAAAATTGGCAGCGTTTTCCAAATTTTTATTTATCCTAATTTCTAGTTGCTACTCTATTTTTCTAGGTAGAGAATTGTATACCTTTCTTTCCAGTATTTATACTTACATTTTATTTTATTTTATTGCTTTTGCTCCAATTCTAAGACCAGTGTTAAATAATAGTGTGGATGTTTTTATATTTTTTTCCTAAACCAAAATTAGTGATCTTTTTTCTTTTAGTTTTTACAAAATTCTTCTTCTTTTTTGTGGCATTTTGCTATTGCAGACGCCCTGACTCGTGGACGGCCCTCAGTCATCTTTCCCTCTGTGTGAGCGGTGGCGTCCTGGGGCCTCTCTGTGGCTGGACCGAGGGGACCGGTCGCAGGCAGGCTCTCCTGGTTATGGACGCGTGACCGCCGGGCCAAGAGCAGGGGCACTCCGCACACGTCCCCACAGGTGGTTCTCCTCTGTGGCCCTGGTGGTTACAGAACCCCCACAGGCTCGTGGCTGAGCGTGGCGAATGGCTGGCTGCTGGCTGGAGTCCCCACCCCCGAGGCTGGCAGCTGCCCCCGCCAAGTGCTGCACCCCTCACGATGCCGCGGCACCCTCTGGGCGGGGGCAGTTTTTGTCCAATAAAGCCCCGCGTGGTTTTGTTGGCGGCGTTGTTTTAGGCTGGGGAGTTGAGGTGAGGACAGGAGAGGAGGGGTGTGATGGCCGAGGACGGCCCCACCCCGCCCTGTGTCCTGGCAGAGACCTCGGAGCCCCCGCAGGCTCTCCGTCGCGTTCTCTGAGGGCACGGCAGGCTCTCGCTGGATCGCTCACCCTCGCCTTTGTCGAACACCCGGATCCCATGGTCCCCCAGCTCACAGTGGACGTCTCTAATGTCCCATGAAGTCCCCAGTCCGAAACGTCTCCCTGGCCCTGACAGAGGCCTGTAAGCCTTCGTGGTCACTTCACATCGCGGTCCCAAGGCTCCTGGGAGAGGGGACGGCATGTCACGGGGCCTCCGCTGTCCTCAGCACAGCAGATCCCAGACTGGCCGGCTGGTCGCCCACCGATTCCTTAGGCCAGTGAGGAGGAGGAGGGTTCCAGGACACCCTGGGTGTGGAAAGGGTGACGGTGGGAGAGGAGCACAGGCCACCGTGACCCCGGGCAGAGGCACCAGCATCGCCCAGGGCAGTGCTGAGTGGCCTCCGTCCCTCTTGGTCCTTGCCTCGACTGCGTCTCTCCCCTGGGGATCCCTCCATCGGTCCCCATCCCTTCCCGCTGCCCTGTCCTTCATCAAGGCTCCTCTGGGACAGGATCAGTGTCCCTTCCTCGCGGCTGGCTGTCCACACTTCTCAGCTGAAAGCATGGCTTCCCTGCCCCCACTGCCGCCTCCTCGGGCTGTGCCCACTGCGTTCATACTTGCCGTGGTCGGGTGTGCCGAAGAACCTAAGGGCCGTGCTAAGCCATGTGCACCCACCACTTGAACTAAACGTGGGACTGGGTCGTTTTTCATTCTGTGATTGAGCCCCAGAACAGTTTATAATTAGTCACGTTTATTCAAAATATTTTATGTCATTAAATAAAAAATAGGAACACGAGTTTTGAAAGGCTGACCTCCAGGCCTGTTCCTTGTGGGCATTCGCAGCTGTAAGCACTAGCCTCAGGGAGAAAGTGAGAGACCTTGGCGAGGGTGGGGTGGGCGCGCTCAGAGTTCGAGCCTCGGCCTGGGCGGTGAGGCCTCGGAGGCTCGCTCGGGCCCGGCCAGTGCTGACGGTCTCCTGTTCTCTCTCTGTCGTGTGTGTTGGCGTGCACCCGGACGTGCTGGCCGCGGAATCCAGGATGAGGTCCTGACCGTGCTCAGGAGAGTGGACGACAACTGGGCGGAAGGCGCGCTGGGGGACAAGGTCGGCATCTTCCCCCTGCTGTACGTGGAGGTGAGTCCCTGGCCGCCGCCCTCTGTCCCCGCTTGTTCCTCCAGGGCAGGGCGGCCTGGAGCCCCTTTCTAAGACGGCTGCTCCCCGCAGTGACCGCAGGTCGGGACACGGTTTTTGATCCAGACCATGTTGGGCTGTGGGAATAGCCTTGGCCGGCCTTGGGGGTCTGGCCAGGCCTGGCTGCAGATCACCTCATAGTCAGGGGGGCTGCCAGCCCGCCACCTCGCCGTCTCCTGCAGGACACCTGCACTCACTCAGTTTCCCAAGCCCTCGGAGTGCGGCTCTAGTCCCCCACCCGGGGCAGCCGAGTGCAGGCAGGGGCAGCGCAGCCCGGGACTCTGCAGACGACACGAAGGAGACATCGCAGCCGGAGAGCGCTCCTTGGACTCGGTGGTGGGCACTTCGCCCAACTGGGGCACTAATGCAGAGGTGATTTGAGGCTCATTGGAACCTAGTAATTTTCTGTCTCTTTTCTGTAACTACAAAGCACCGTGGGGGCCAGCATGTGGCATGGTGGTTAAAGCAGCTGGATCTCCGTGGCAAACTGTGTGGTTCAAGTCCTAGACCCAGTGGTTTGAAAAGCACACCAGGTGTGTGTGCATGCATGCCCAGAATCCCAAGGGGAGACGGGAGAACAAGGCATTGCAGTGTGACCATCCCCCGGGGGTGATTTCTCGCTTTCCCTCTCTGTCTCCGTCTCTCCCTCTGGTGAGTGCACATAACCTGTCGATAAATAA